AAACCAAGCAAACATCGGTACATTGGTGAACTCGTCTCTTTCTACGCAGCAGCGGCACACAATATATCCGCATTTGAAGGCGAAATAGAGACCATTAGGATTTCACTATGCCAATTATGTTGCCTGGATACGAAATTCACCAAAGCGGTGATACCCTCGGACCCACAATCAGCAATAAACTCAATTGGAAGCAGAAAGCCACCCAAAACAGATGAGATGAAGGAATGTAGAAAACTTTATGAGCTGCTGAGAGAGAAAAACAAAACAGTGGTCCTACAATGGATTCCTTGTCACTGTGGCATTAAAGGCAATGAGCTTGCTGACACACTTGCTAAGAAGGGGACAATGATTTTGCAATGCATGGACCAGAGGATGTCTTTTCACACAATGAAAGCCTTAATCAGGAGAGAATTCCAGACCTCAAGGTGTAACGAACTAAAAGCTCGAACAAAGGAGAAACAGTGGACGGTGGCACTCTCCGACATTGTCGACTGGCCAAGAATCGAAGCCGTTGCTGAGTTTAGACTTCGTACCGGACACGATTGCCTGGCAAAACACCTTCACAGATTAAGAGTATACACTCAACCCACATGCCCCTATGTAACCTACAGGAGAAATAGATAAGACCCACCTGATTCGGTGTCCAGCAATAAAGACAACCACGGAAAGCCAGAGATTCTGGGAAGCAAGAAGACAGCTAATGAACTGCTACATATGAACCCCCCCCACCCTTGGAGGGTGCTGAAGTCAAATTTTAAGGGCTAATGATAAATATCATAAAGCCTGCCATCTGAAATAAATAAACAACTTTTCCACAAAAACAAATTCCTGGTTTTCGCAGTCTAGGCAATGGTTTGATGCCTCTCCTTATTCCAAGCGTCATTTGTGTTGGACCGGGAACAAGACATCCACCTCATACTTCTCCCAATATCACGTTGTAAGTTTGTTTTCATTCACTCTGATTATTTTGTCTGATTTGTGATGTAATTGTTTTTCCTACCTTCAAGTGATTCTAGTCCAGAGGAGGATTTCGGGAGTCGCCGCTCTCGATATCGTGATGACGAATCAGGAAGTCAGAATGTTCGGTAAGTTGATTCTATACTATTTAACTCTCTACTCACTATTTACAACTCTTTTACACTCAAATTGATGATTTGCATGAGCTTGCATCAAGTAGGCTAGAAATAAGTGGCTTGATTTTGAATTCTCTACTAGTTGGAGTTAATATCTACTGCTTAAAACGGGGTATCATGTATTTGTTATCCCTCTTTCGGTTCCCTTGAGTGTCTTTCTCTTATTTAGTTTAGAATAAGTTATTTTTGTAACTTTGCTTGAAATCAAAAGCATTTGTCGATTATGCTCTGTCTTAATGGGGTAAAAGCTGGCCATACTGTATAACTTCATAGTAAGGCGTATTCTATTTAAGTAGAAATGACTTCCTTATGCGTGGAAGAGGTGGTGATTTTTCGTCGACTGAGTGAGTGCCATTTTCTGAATAATAGTTTGAGTAAATCTAGGTAGAAGAGGTTGTTAAGATCCTTCACACCTCTGAGAAGAATTCTTGAAGGAGCTTCATCTTGTTCTTCGTCTACGGGATTGTTGATGGTGGAAATGGCTTTGTCGGACTTCTAGATTAGTCTTGTCAAAATCTTTCTTTGATTGTACCTTGAAGTAGGATTTATCTGTAATTTTCATTGCCATTTTCATGTCCATAGTGTTAGAGTTAAAAACCAAATTTTTCATTTAAAAACAGATATGAAGTAGATTCTGGCGAGAACACGGTGGTCGCAGTGGTTGTTCTCGACGACATGGATCAAGAGAAAGGCGACGCGAACGTTCTCGTAATCGTAGTCCGATCTTAGCCATTCCTCCCAGGCAGTCTTCGAATGCCCCAGAATCCTCATCACGTTCAATACGAAAGCCAGAAACAAGGGATTCAAAAGGGCGTAGAGGAGGAGGAGGTGGTGGTAATAAAAAATTTAATCGAAGCAGTCATCGCAGTAGTCGTCAGCGTCGATCACCAACACCACGTTAAGGTGGTAGAACTTGGAGGAGATTGCAAATGTAATCAATGCATCATTTGAGAAAAAAATTTGCTTTGGAAAGATCGTAAATAAAACACCGGTCAAGCACAATTCGACACGAAACACATCGAGTGGAGTTAAAATGGCAACAGCGAAATGGCTATAAATGACTTTCTCGTGAGAATGGTTGAGAGTAAGACTGGACGGCTACCACTGAGAACTTGGCAGTTCTTTGATAAATCCTCGGGCAGAGTCATGTTGGGCTACCCTTGTTCCAGGTAAGTCAACTGACCGACTGGTTGAAGGTGCAGCTATGACTAGATACAAACAAGACTCGAAAGGATTTTAAATTTGAAATTGACCTCCATTTGGAATGCGACATTACATTTGTTTGCGCATTACGAGTCATTATTGGTCCAGGAATAGGAGGGGGTGTGTTTATGGATGCCTGAAAATTTCCTGGAAGCCTGGAAGGCATCCATTGGATACCACCGCAATCACTGGTATCTGAGGACGTGAAGGGGGAGGAGGAGGAGGAGGTGGAAGTACCTCTGGAGGTGTTGAAGATTGTTGAAAGTTTTCTGTCGAACAAGTGCATAGAGCTCCTTGGAAATATCGGTTGAATATGCAAGGGCTCTCCAAACGTTTGTCTTGTGGAATAGATGACAGTGGAGTTGTCACCTGTGACAGTTTCAGTGCTAGGGCCTCACTGGTGGAATATTTCGCCATCCATTGCTTCACCGGTTCCTTTGTCCTTGCATTGCCACAATATCTCACTTTCAACTCATCCAATTGGTGTTTTAAGTAAGTTGGATCAGTTAATGCTCTTCCTAAAATGTCGATTTCACAGTCACTTAAACAATTTTATGAGAGTCGAAATAAATTGTGAGGGATCTCTAGGAGTGTGGATTAAGAGTGTAGCCTAAAGTGAATAATCATTACCACGCAATTAGAAGGAAACTTACAGTTA